GCAATTCACCCTCGACATGGTCACATTTAACAACTTATATTTTTTTCTATTTTCAATTTTGAAAAAGTTTACCTCAAGAAATGAAAAAAAATCTAAGAGGTCAAGGTGCAAACTTGTGCGATTTGGCGCGAAATGGCCAATGGTTTTTTTTCAAAATGACTAATATCACCCCACTTTTTGAGCTCGCAAAATGTAGAGACAAGAAGCGAGAAAATCGCAAACAAGTCCAAAAAAAATAAAAATTACTTAGGGTAATTTGCAAAACTCAGTACGCCAGCTACCTCAGGAGCCGAAGTGACATTTAGTTCCTTCTTCCCTCATTCTACCCTAAAACCCGTCAAATGAGTTCCTAAACACAATTCCTAAAAAGGCAACAGTTCATTTGTCATTAGCAACTTCTATCACAACAGAATTAGGTTCCTCGCTCTCTTCAGCAACTTCAGCTTCTATTCTCTGAGAACCTCCAGCACTCACCTCACAACACGAATCGCTTGCAGAAGCCCCATCGCTGCCCTGCAATATTTCAATTTAAACGAATAGTGCAATGCCTTACTGACTTAAATACAAAGATAATTAAAATCAATAAAAATGTAAAATTCTCTCCTGCCCTCTTTCACATGTAAACGAAAAATTTTTTAAAAACGCTTTCATGAAGGAAGAACAAGAAAAATGATCTCGCTCAGTTATTTGCCACTTATAGCAGTGGAAAAATCATTGAAATGTTACGCGGTAACATGAATGAGTATACTCAAGCTTTAAAAACCGTTCCTGTTCATATATTTTGCTTCCCTCGGGTTCAAGAGGGGGCACTGACAAAAAAAAAACTCATTGAGTAGACTTCTTGAAAAAAATCGAAGGCAATCCAAATCCCGTTCGCAAAACCTTTCTTTCTTACTCTCTCCCGACCAAATGAAAGACCTTTATCACTATCCCCCGGACTTTTAAAAAAGCATCAAAAAAATTATGCGCTAAAATCTTTACCTTTGTATTTAAACACTCGTTCTTTATTCTAATATCAAGTAAAATGGTCAACTACGGCACTTTCAGATCTTTAACCTATTAGATAAATACACAAGCCCCTGTTTAGTAAACTACAGAGGTTTTGAAACAAGCATATCTTAAACTGCCTTTTCACTATTCTATAACCTAGTCAGCATTCATTCCCTAACAAAAAAAAAGCATAGAAAGCAAACAGGAACAAAAGAGGTTCAAGCAGTCCTGCTAACAGCACTCATTTCCGCAGCCTCTTCATCAGTACACATGAAGGCCAAAACAATGGAATGAAACCCGTCCTTTACAGAAAAAACCCAAATAATGATGCTTCATCTAATGGAACAAGAATGATGACATACTATTTCACGGCAAGCCATAAACACAAAAAACCGTGTTTTCAAGTCCCTGAGACACCTACCTCCGCATAACTGGCGCGATGGCAGAATTCACTTGTAGATTTCATTTCAATGTACACAGCATTCTCATCAGTTTCCAAATCATGATCGCTTGTAGAAAAAGCCTAGAATTATACTTACAATTAACGTCCAGATGTTTTGCCGAACAGTTAAAGTTCCTCAAGTTATCCTATGCTAAATAAAAACATTTTTTTCTACAAAAGACCTAGCAAATAAAAGAGAAATAAAAAGTACTCCTCGAGTTTCTTTGAGCGCTTTTATAGGGCTTTGGTTGATAGCTGCAGAAGACTCATACGCAGAATCATCTTCGGAGGCGGGAGGAGCTGTTGGAACAATGCAGGATTGAATGTGACTTATGGGGCCATTTAGTGCTTCAACCAATGTCATTGTTTCGTATCTAAATACAGAACAGATGCTGAAAGCAACTAAACGATAGAAACCAAACAGAATAGCAGGACTGCCTGTAAAAAACTTAAAGTTTCTGAAACCAAGCCCTAAATTTCATCTACCAAAACCCCCCGCCTTTCCCCCCCAAAAAAAAAGATCTATTCGGCAACATTTACAAAAACTCAGCAAAATAACCAGTAAAAAATAATTTAAGATAGATTTTTCACCACACTTCAGATCACACATGTGTCCATACTTGCATGTCAGAGGGCCAAAAAAATAAAAAAGTGTAAATCTTCTTGCGTCAAGTGAACCCAACTATCTATTCTTAAAGCTGACAATGAGAAATATTTAGCTTCCTTTTACTAAACTTCGAAAAGTCCCATTTCATGTGAATGCACCTAATGATGTCAAAACCGATCTTAAAAATCACTGATTCATTAACATTGGAACTATTAAAAAAGGACGCTGTAAGAATGCCCATATTGATACAGGAGTATTATAATTTTGTGACAATGGTGGTGCTGAATCTAGCACAAAAATAACAACCTAGTCTGTGAGCGTGTATGCTGTGTGGAACAATATTGGTCTGTTATTGGAACGCTGCTAACAACCCGCATTGTCTTCAGTTGCAGAAGAGCGCGAAATGGTGACCGACAAATAGGACAACTATTTTGCTGCAATTTAACACATAGTCGTTTAGAATTTAGGTTAACCTAGAAGAAGAAAATATACCCTGTAACGAAGTGTTTCAGCACATGCGTTGCAAATGCATAGATGTCGACAAGGTAATATAACTGTATCCCGTATATCAGACAAACAAATTATGCATTCAGAACCGTTCTCATCATTAAGATCATGCTCTTTATTTTCTATCCCATATATTTCTTGTAAAAGATATATAACGCCATCAGCAATCTAAAAATAGTAACTTTTTTGCGCGCCTAACAAAATACCAATTCAAGACTGAAAGCAGATATATTTCTAAAAACCTATAATCCAATCAAGCATAAAAATCTATACCAATTTCTGTTTTAGAGGCTTCATGACGAAGGTAGCGTTTTGGTCAGTTGAAAGATTGACACTTGCCATAGTTGTCTGAACCTGCTCAACTCCACAATCAACAGTACGGAGCTCGATAACTATCGGAAAATACAATCCTGCTTCATAGTGCATCTAAATTTCATTAGTCTAACAGGAAAGGTAGACAAGAACTCCAAAGCAATTGAAACACAGAACACATACATTGAAATCAGTGAATAAATCTTGCTTAATAACGTATTGATTGAAGTGCTGTTCAGCACCAACATCAAAGTAATACTGTGGTGATGGTTTCAAGTCTGGATACTGATAAAGAAACCTGAAACACAATACTGTTCTGAATCCGGCTAAACGTCTCACCAGATTTTGAGCGCGACCTGCGCAAATGCTTAAAACTTACGTAACACAACCATTTCGAATTGTTTCGGTAGCAAAAAAGTGAATTTGAACGTAGCAGGCACTGTCGCAATCAAAACAAAATTCAATGGTAAAGTAATCCTTGTCTTCTTCCATGCTTTCAGAATCCCTATTTTTCACTCTAAAAAATATTTAAGAACTGGAAAAAACTGAGATTTGCTCCTACTATAAGAATATGAAAGAATTTTTTGTGATTTCTCTCAAATGTCTCATTTTTCCAAAAAAAATTTCAGGAACAAACTTCACAAGCTTGACAGAATCGCGGCGAAGGTTAATAAGTGCATTTAAGGTTTTAACTGGGTCAGTAACAGGCTGTCTCATATAAGGGAACTGAAACATGAGCATGTATTAATTAGGTCATGAAATCCATAACTTTAAGAAAAATGAACAAAGGCTACTTATGTAATTTAAAAAGAACATTACCTGGGCTGGTTTGCCTTCGAGAAAATCAAGGTCGGAATTTTCTCCAAAAAGAAATGCCTCGGGTTTACCAACTTCATAACGCTCACCACCCATCAAAAAATGAGAACCAAAAAATGGACCTGCAATGTAAATCAACTGATGAATATATAAAGCAACAATTAAAAGTGGTTTAATTGCAAAAAATTGAGTCATGACTATTCCATACAATTTACACAAACTGTATCAATGGCAAATATGTTCTTTTATTCCCTACCGTTGTGCCTCGAGAACCGTTGTACTACACAAGAATCGCCACCATCTGCATCCCCCTCTCGTCTATTATTGATCTCAGGTGTAGTATTACCCCGTCTTATGCGAGTAAAAAACTGCCCCATTATATTTCCTTAACGGGGGAAAGCCCCGTTAACTTCTTCCTTCTAGCTGTGACGACCGCGACAGTTTTGCTAAAATTACCTTCAAATTTCAAACGAAAAGAAACCCTTACAATTTTAAAAACTCAAAGCCTTTTCTGAATAAGGTAACAAAAAATATAACAGCAAACACAAAAAAACTGTAAAATGAATGTACAGAAAGATGGGTACTAAAAAAACAGAGAGCCTAACGAAATTCTACCAAATCAACGATTTACTTTACAGAAGGCTTTCTCCAATGTCAACCCTTATCCACCTCATAATTTAGGTTTTTTCCACAAATATCCCAGCATTTGTATATGTCGTATATAACCTTCTACTTGAATACTCTAAACCCTTTCCTATTGTTTGAGAAAATACCTTTACAAGTTTTGCACTACTAGGGTATAGCAACAAGACTGTGTAATGATGTTCTCCTCTCTTAAGCTACGTCTTAGTCAAAGTCTCTACAAAATCGCCGTCCCCTTGTTTCTTCCCCCCACAACAACTTCCCTCTCACAGCACATACCAATAGCAAGCTTCTGCTAGAAGTGTACCGTACACAGCACCAGTAAAGCAGAAAAGTGTTCATAGACAGATTACTGAGCATTAATAAAAAAATCTGAGTAAAAAAGAATAAAGCATAGAAGAAAAATATTCACAAACACTGAACATATTTGTGAACAACATACACAAAAGCACAGATGCAAAGATGACAGGTTAAAGTGTAGTGTAAATGCCTTGGTGATTAAACAGAAAGCACTCACTCCTAATTGCTCCTAAAAACTGGTTTAAAAGCACTTTGGTAGAAAATTTTTTCACTTGTTGAAACCTTAACTGTACCTGATAATAAACTAATACAGAAAAAAATGAAACATGGTTTTTCAAAGTAAATCATCAACAGTCACACTGTGTACAACGAAATTATAATACGCAACATCTGTTTAGTGCGCTCAGAAAAAGCTCTATAGACAGTTTAAGTTGGAAAAGTTCCAAATAAAAAAAAACAAGAGCCAGGCTTACGCGAGCTGAATAAACTAAATTTAAATCTGATTTTGCTGAAAAATTACAGCACAAATGCTGTATGTATATGTATACAGTAATTTTTCGTCAAATATACACGGCATAAACCACGTGGTTTCAACATTCTCTTAAGAATCCACCTAACAGTTTTTTTGTTAATTTTTTAATGCTTGGAAACAAAAGCAAAGAAAGTACTCACTGAGAGTTATTAATTTTAGGTTGCTCATCACCAGCGCTGTGTAAATAGTCCTGGAAAAAAGTCCAAAATTTTTTGCCAACAAATTACCAGTTAGTTTTATCCACTAATCTAACCTGAATACTCCGTAGAAATTTCTGTCAAATTTTCTCTTTTTTATTTTTTAAGCAGATCCCCTTATCTTCAACATTGTTCACAGAAATCTAGCTGGACAACCTCTGGCTCATCTCAAATAATCTGTAAAAACTGTTCAATTTGCACCATTGTTGTCGCCAATTACCCAGAGATTTGTATAAATTGTCCAGGATTTATGTAAAGAAAGAGGTAATATTATTCAATAAATTGCTAAACGTAAGAAAAATTTTCCTGAGTTTATTTCGTTCTTTCCACTCTCCTTTTTTTTTTTCTTAATGTAATATTACCCTCTATACCATCTGATGACCATATCGTT